AAACCCTAGTAATTTCCATCGAAGTTTACAGAAGGCTATCCGATATGATCCTCGACTACTACATGGTACAAGTAGAGGAGATACGATATGTTGTTCAATTTTAGGAGGCTATGCCCCACGCCTTACCGCTATTACAATATGTAAATATGTGTTTCCCTCTCTACACTGTGACAGACTTTGCGTCTGAACTCTGGACCCTGGAGCTTTTCTGGCTCGTTGACCACTGTTGCGAAATACATCGGGTTCAACTTTCGAGAAAGGGATCCACTCAGAGCCTCAGTCTATTATCATACCGAACTCCATATGTTCTTCTTTCAGAAATTTTTCAGAAGAAGGCGATGAGAACTCGCTCGTAAAAAACGAGATTGAAACATGACCCTCTCTCTAGAAAGAGAAGAATACTTATTAATAAAATATGCCATCGAGATGGCCATGATTGGAAATAACCTTCCTCAGAGGCTCAGACTCATCAGAGTCTCAGACTGTCAAACCTCACAAGTCAATAGACAAGAAGTATTTTTTTTTGATTGAGTATTGGCAAGGTTCAGTTTTTATAAAATAGATATGTATATTGGATTTGTCAAATCCAGTCACCGAAAAATTATGAACATAACGAGATGAGCGGGCCTTCTACAAATCAGAAACCTACATTCTCGGATTCTCACCCGGTACACGAGCGGAAACATCCCATTATATCTATCCTGGTGAAGGGTCTCAATAATTACGTTGTTGCAAGATGAATACGCACAACCTTCCCGCATTTAGGTACAATCAGCATCGACCACTTTAAATTTTTAAGTGGTACATAGTGATGATGCTCGACCTCTATGTTCATACCGGTAAAAGTTGTCAATAGGAATCGTAGGATACAATATTTATGGTATTTTACTTGTTTATTTTATTATATTATTTTATATATATATATATATATATATATATATATATATATATATATATATTTAAGAATGAAGGCTATGGTATTTACTAGTTTAATATTAGAATACATACCCTCTTTTCTCTCTCTCTCTCTCGCTCTCTTTCTCTCTCAACTAGTTATGTATTTAGTAGTAGAGACTCTCTAGCTAGTAGAGAGAGAGTAGGGGGTATAGGACTCTCTAGCGAGAGAGTATAGAGTATAGAACCATAGGGTATGTACGATTATCAATATTTAGAGGGGGCTATGTAGCCTATTTATTTATGATTTGGAGAACTGCTATTTTTTTCACCCATGATGAAATATGTTTTTTTTTGTAAAACAATAGTAGGCTTCACGGCTCACGGCCCTCACTGTGGTGGAGTGTGGACTGTGGACTGTGGACTGTGGACCTGTGGACTGTGGACTGTGGACCTGCGGACTGTGATCTCAGATCTATGAACTTGTGAAGTTTGAAGTGTGAACAATACTTTTATTTTTTTAAGCCCCTCTCTCAGTCTCAGGTGCGGGTCTGCGCCTCAGGCTCTCAGCTCTAGAAAAAAATGGCTTGACAATGGGTTCCTAAAAATAGAACAAGAGGCATGAGTCATGACACTCGGACAGTCATGACTCATAAGTCTCATGACTTATGCCTTCCCTTTTCTGAGTCGACTCTGATGAGCCTGATCAGTAGGAGTCTGGACCCTGGTGGCCTGGTCCTTGGTGGTCTGCGCCCAAATCGGCAAATCCAGAGGACTAATGAATTTTTTTTCAACAACAAAGTATGTACCGACTATAATAAATTTGTTTTTAAAAATACTCTCTACTACTAGTAGTATTAGAGAGAGGAATCTTGTTTTAAAACAATACGCTTTTTTTTTAAATAGGTATGTATTTACATTATGTACCTTACTATTATTATGTAAAAACATACTGCATGTACTATGCATTTTTTTAACCCTTTTTTTTTAAACAAACAAAAATAGTAAATGTAAAGTACACCGATTGTTTTTTGTCATACACAGATACATAATAAATATTTATGAACTCACAAGATAAAATATGGGTACTGTATATATTAGTTTGTATTCGTTATTTTTACTCGTGAAATGTCCACTCTCTATTTTATAGAGACAGACTCTCAGTCTAAGGAGTCTCAGTCCTGACTCCTGAATCCTGACTCCTGACTCAGACCTCTCGGCTCTCACACACACACACACACTCTCTCTCTCTCTCTCTCTCTCTCTCTCTCGCAGACTCCCTTTCACGACCAGAGTTGACAACATGTGACGTGTGTTTGTACAGTATCTCTTCTTTTTTTTAAATATTCATTTGATTTGTTGCTGTTGTGTGTCTGCTTTAAAAAAAACCTCGATAGCAGCCCAAAACAAAAGCAAGCTGTAGGCCTGCAGTGCCCGGCAGAGTGGTGACTTGCTCAGAATTTAATTGGCTGCACGGCAGGACACACCACACCACTGGAGATAAGAGACCTGCAGGCTGCAGTCCTGCAGAGTGCAGAACTGTAGAACTGGCAAGTGGCAACTGCAGAACTGGCAACTGCAGAGTGCACTCGGCAGTCTGCAGTCGTCAGTCACACTACCAGTCTGATGAGTAAGGTGTAGGAGCGTACAGTACGTACACACTACACAGATCGGTCGTTTTCATTAGCTTGCAGTTGGTGGTAATAAATATAATTTGGTGTACGAATTGGCTCATTTTTTTCTCAATGCCCTTTCTCACTCTACTACTCTCTCTGAGAGTACTCTCTCTCTAAATACACTTCAGTCTAAGACTGAAGTGTATTTAGAGAGAGAGTAGTAGACTAGTAGTAGCAGAAATACTGTAGAATACACACATGTGTGAGCTAGTGAGGTAAAAATTTAAAAATGTAGAAAAATAAAATAAAATAAAAGAGAAATGACTGAAAATCGTGAATTTTGCGTCATGAACAAATCATGACAGTGTCATGTTTTGTTTTTATTTTTCAAAATAAATAAAATAGCCAACTAAGAACAAATTTTGAAAAAAACCAATATTTATACGCAAGTTTGAACCTGAACGTATTGGATAATAAATGTTTAACGTTTTTATACTTTGAAGGAACTTGCATTTTTAAAATTATTCCAGCTCGCACTTTTTTTTTTTAAACAAATACGTTGCAAACATATCGTCGATTCGTGTTTCTGGAAATTATAAATGGTGAAATTGCGACCAAGTATTCGCGAAATCGCATGTATATCGTATTTGAATAAATATATATATCTGCGCTTTACCTCATTGCAGGCCGAGACACTATTAGATTTGTCTTGTCTTGCGCAAGTATCTCGCAGAATTTATCCTACTGCCCACCTTTGAACAACATGGAGGAAAACAGTATCGTACAGTTGAGTTCGTCCGTCAATGACGAAGTACCCTTAGATAAGAAATCGCCAAATCCCCCTTTCGCTTCTAGTAGCGGCGAGAAAGACCAGATAAAGGTTCGTACCTGGTACAATATCAATTAATACAATACACATTTGTTTACTGACATTCTTGGCCAAACTGTCAATAAACTTCGATTGTGAGATTACGGCTGCTACTCGCGAACGCTTTTCTTTTTCATCTATGCTGATCGGCTTTGCAATGGACGCGTGCGAACTGATTCCAAATTTGCTTGCCGTGCGTAGATTTCTCTATTTATTGACTGATACTATCGAGCTATATTACCACGAGAAGAATATTGGTGTGCACCTTTTTTTATCGCGAATATAAATTGCTTAAGTAGAGTATCTTACACCTGTGTACTCCTTTCAAATATCGCACAGGGTGAAATGTATGATCGGAAAGAGAGTACCAAGAGCCGACGTTCGAGGCGTCATAGCCTACCGCGGGTCATAGCAGAGGATGGTACCGATATTACGTTCGATCCATCCGGTGGCATGGTAAGTTAATCTGAGTAGCTATTGTTCATGATCAAGCTTGGTACTACAGTCTTTGGTACTGATACCACTGCACATGTATCGGCTCTGTAGCCTGGTAGTGTAGTTGTGACAGCTTTGGCTTGGATTATTGGCAAACTTAGCAAGAGACTTAATAGGTGTGTGTGCATAGATATATATGTATATGTATGTATGTATGCATGTACGTATATTATATGTGTGTGTATGTATATATATATATTAATAAGTATACAATTAGTTTATATATATATACATAAATATGTATGTGAAATCTATCCACACCCTCCCGACCTTCCCCTAACCCACACACCTTACAGTCATATATACAGACACAATTATATCTGAAATCTCATTGTTTTTTTATATCTAACCGTATATTGCCGTCACCCTACGCTTCACTTCATTTGTAAACACAGTGGGGTGACTCCGGCGCTGCTGATCACGAGACCGTGTCTATTGACGGCGACTCGACTGTCAAACGCGTAGGTATGATGTGGGAGAACATTAACTTCTCTGTGGAAGTTGGTGGCGGCGGCCTGTGTGGGAAGAAGGGATCTGACATGAAGCTGTTATTGCGAGACGTCGGCGGATATGTCGAGCCCGGTAGTATGCTGGCTATCATGGGGGCAAGGTATACATGTCTGTCACTGTGGATTGCCATATAATATTGTATGTTGGATGAGATGTTGTTGTAGTCGTAGACAACATGTAACTTTGTTTTTTCACGTACGGTATGTTCAATTGTTCGATATAGCGCGTGCATTTACATTGGTCATTCTGTATAGGATTAATTTATATTGAAGGTAGTGATGTACCTGTACTCGCGTGCACGTAACATTATCCTGTGCTATCTTGAAGTCCTCGATGAATTTACAAGCGGCAAAAGTTAAGATGCCCCCGGTTCTGTATCTATGGATGTCTGGTAGACCTACGCTGTATGACCTTATAATCTACCTTTGTACCGATTGACACGACCAATTTGTCCTTGTGTCCTGATTCTATGCAGTGGTGCTGGTAAGACCACTCTCCTCAATCTGCTGGCCGGTCGATTGACGAGCACGGGCAACTGCCAAACCGAGGGGCGTATCTATGTAAATGGCAAGAAGCGCGACTACCAACAGTTCAAGAAGTATAGGTATGCCAATTCTCCGAATACCGTTTCTTGCGATTTCTCACAGTCACGAATAAAGCAAGTTGAAGCGAATTTATATTCATGTTTTTTACAATTACGAATTTGAGCAAATTGGTTGAAGCGACTTTGTGCAAAGTGTGTTGATTGGAGTGGCAGCTGAACAGTCTCTTTCTGACACTGTGACAAGTGTGCATGTAGATGATGTTGCTGCTCTGGTTGCGTCTGGATCTACAGTGACAGGGGATATGTCTTAGACTTGACGCCCCGTGTCACCAACTGCTATCGAGTGGAACATGTCCTCATGATTGTCATCTGCTTTATCATCTTCTCTAGTGCGTACGTCATGCAAGACGATGACATGTTCGCCGAGATGACGGTGAAAGAGACCATCACCTTTTCGGCCAAGCTGCGCCTTCCCGCATCAGTGTCGGCGGAAGAGACGAAAGTGGTGAGTACCAGTTGTTGACTTGCGCGTGAACTACGGCACTCTGAGTTGGGGTCTGTTTGTTTTTGTCTGTCTGTTTGTTTCTTTGTTTGTTTTCCTTAAGTGACTGGGAATAAGGTGGAACGTTCTTCTGTAGCCATGAAGTACCGCCCACAAACGGATGCTCTCAGATTAACGAGTGTCTATTACTGTTAGTTAGTGTTTGTCAATGTATCGCACCTCCATCAGTTCATCAATGGTGAACCGCCTGAACCACTGATATACCTACATCATCCTGTATGTGATCGCTGATCCCACACTTGCAGAGAGTGGATTCCTTGCTTGCTGAGCTCGGGCTTGCACATGTGCAAGATTCATATATCGGAAATGCTATCCTGCGTGGCGTGTCCGGTGGTGAGAGAAAGCGGGTCAATATCGGTATGTGATTCCTGTGGGATGTCAAAGTGGTCAATCGGTCTTGTGCTATTCGATATCCCTGTGAGGCATTGTAGGTACCTCACAGACGTGCCCGTAGTATGCTACACACTTGAGAGTACCATTCGTTTGCTCTGTCGTATTAGATAAGAAAGCTTTGTGCTCCGTCTACGTTTTGGGCGCTGACTAACATTCAAGTCAATGCAATTCTCCGGGATTTCTTTAACTTCACTAGGTACTGAATTGGTGACGGAGCCTTCGTTGGTGTTCATGGACGAACCAACGACTGGCCTGGATTCATTTAATGCGTTGAATATTGTCTTTACGATGAACAAACTGTGCCAGAACAACAGGACAATTGTCACCACCATCCACCAACCTCGCTCGAACATCTATGGGATGTTTGACAATCTCCTGCTGCTCTCCAAGGTAATTGTGATGCATACATGTTGACTCATAAGATACTTGTATGGTTGACTTATCCACATCAGGTAGACATAGCCAGGTTTCACGCATGCATTCAACTGCGTAAATAATAGGTGTTTGTATCTGTTTTTGTATACGTGCCGTGTTCTTTGATTCTCTTCTTCGATGCTATTTAAGGGCAACAATGTATAGCTTTGTCAGTCATCATTGAATCATTGAAACATACTGTTATATTCCATCAGGGACGAGTGGTGTATTTCGGAGGTGCTGAGGAGGCCGTCGATTATTTCTCGAAACTGAATTTCGTGGCTCCCTCGCATTTCAATCCAGGTATGTGCACTAGGACAACACCTCATAAATGCATGTTAACCGATGAATAAGTTTGTGGTTGTATTCTGCTGGCATAAGTGTAAGCATGTCTTCAGTAGGCTACAATTGGCACTTCAGTTCGTTTTGTACGGGTGTATGTTTTAACTTGTCGTCGCCAATCGCTTAAATCTAAAAATAGATTGATCCATTACTCACTATGTATTGTCATTGCAGCGGATTACTTCATCGATCTGCTCTCAATAGACTCGCGCACGGACGAAACGCGCGACATCTGTTTGGCACGTTTGGAATACCTCTCGGATCACTATCATCAGAAGGTAAGGATTATCTACTGGTACCTGCTGTGCCTATAGTACTTATTTCTTGTATGCTTGATACATTCGTAAATATATATACCTTCGAAGTACATTCGATGATGTTTACTCGGCGTTCCGCATTTGCTTTTAAACTTTGTAGGAGGCATCGAAATCAACAAAGAATATGAGCACATTGTTGCGAAAAAAGGATGCGGACGAGGCTGCTGCCAATGTTGAAGGTGAATAAAACCCTAAAACTGCTGAGATTATATGGATAATTGCATCCTATATCTAATATCCCTGTAGAGTCAGTCGTACGGGTGTTTATTCAAATTCATCCAGCTGGCTATATACTAATGTCTAAACTATACCGACAGGAGCGAACGGAAAGAAACAACATATGAATATGAATCATCACCAGAACAGCTGGGGTGCGGAGTTCTTCATTCTGTGCGGAAGGACGATAAAATTGATGGTATGTTTATATGTATATATATATATATATATAGTGTGATGGCTGCTGTCGAGGCTTGTCACGTGGAGTGCGTTTGTAGTCGTATGGATTCTGCATGCGTTCCGTGTATATTCACTAAATATCTGTTAAATCAGGCGCGAGGCGGTAGTCCCGAAACAAACTTGTGTGTCTAAGCTGAATTGACTTTGCCACGCTTAGCCCACACAAAAGAATGGTTAATTTGAAAGATTTATTCTATCATTCTATCCATTGGCGACAATACTACTGAACGAGTGTTGCCGGGTGCATTTTGCAACGGCTGTGTATAAGTATTTACCTGTGTCTAATTTACTGCCATGTGTTGTATCTCTTTCCATTCAGTTGCGTGAAAGGCAGTCGAATATGGCGCGTATCTTCCAGACCCTCTTCTTCTCCATCCTGCTGGGTCTGATTTGGTTGAATCAGGGACGAGACTACTTTGATGATCCTTACAATCCTAGCGAGAGTGAGGCAAGAAATCTGATGGGTAAGTGCACAGTGTCTCGAGATTATCTTTCTATGATTGGCTTTGGTAGCACGAAGGTGGTCTCAACTTCTGGTTGGTACGGGGGTGTTTCGTCAGCGGTAAATTTTGGCAGTTGTCCGGTTTTCTAATCAATTTCTGCTCCTTCATTTATTTATTTTTCAATGCAGGTATCTTCTTCTTCCTCGTAATGTAAGTGCACGGTATCCGGTTGTCGAAATGGTTGGTACAGTATGCAAGATCCCCGGTTTTCACACGCACTGTTTCGTGTGCTTTTCAGTCGTTATTTGAGTGGTGCTTGGTGTCCTGTCGAGCGTTAATATCTCTGTGGGCCGGGTAGGATTCTTTCGTTTCCCAATCGATTGGAATAGGTTCGTGTTCTATGCTGGACTATGCTAACATTAGGCAAGTGAATCATTGTGCGCTGGATATTGCATGCACCCTATTCGGCAAAGGAGTGATTACTTGATACCACGGTTGACTTCGATGTACGGCTATTGGGCTATCGATTGATGTGGGTTGTCCGATCGTTAACTAATCAATTGTTCTACTTTAACCGATCGATTCTTCAATTTCTTCCCATTGCAGTAATGTTTCCTTTGGAGCCGTTTTTTCAGTGCTATTTGTATATCCCCTTGAAAGAAGCATTGTACTCAGGTATGTACAATTCTCACGTTTTTTAATTCTGCGCATGCGAAATTGTTTTTGGATGATAGCATCGGAATCTAGTGAATGTGTGTTTTGGAGCTGTCTTGAAGCTATCAATGAGTTAAGATTCTAAGCCAATATGGCGTAAAATTTATCGACAGAATGAGCAATTTCAAGAGTGCCACCAGTAGTGAATTTTTGGTGCTTTGGTCTCTGGAATATCAAAATATTGCACGAGAATGTTATTCTCATCACACTGACACTCTTTTGTCCTATTTCGTTCTTGTTTGGTTTCTATTCTTGTCACAGGGAACGAGCCAGTGGTAGTTATCGAGTGACTTCGTACTTTCTCGCAAAGACCATCGTGGAGGTGCCGAGGAATTTGATTATTGTGGCCATCAACTGTCTCATCGTTTACTGGATGGTCGGGCTCAAGGTGTGTATATCTGTACTGTTTCTTTCTTCGAGTATTAGGACTTAGTATTGTTTGGAAGGCTGCATTCTTCCTTTGTTTTTTTACAGCAGAGTTATCATCTATTAACTATAATAATGAAACTATACCCTATATATTTCTTGCTTTCCGGTGTATGTTTATGTGTGCATGCTAGATATGAAATCGGATCGATCTGTACTACACTATAATTCCCCCTTGATACATATGGCAGTCGTGGCGTGCGCGATATATGCATATGTTAGTTTATATATCTGTAGTCTGCTTAGCCCGATAGCCAGCTTCATTGCGAGTTGGGACCGAAACCACTTATCTACTATACCTTCCAAGTGTCCATCCTGGTCTGGGTCCACTACTGTGGTATCAATGGCTAAAACACACCGCTGGGCTGTACTGGTAAATTGCTTGGCAATGTGCTAATCGCTTGGTACTATACTTCACTCACTCACTAAATGCCAGGCTGAGGTGGGAGCGTTCTTCTTCTTCTACCTGGTGCTGCTATTAGGTGTGCTGGTCGCTGAATCGATGACGCTCTGCATTTCGACGATATTCCCCGATCCCCAAACAGCATCTGCATTTATTCCTGTTCTTATCGGTAAGAAATACACTTAAAAATAGCACCTAAGGCCGGCCCATGTTTGCAGTTCTACTGCAACCTGTGTAGTAGTTGAGTTGATTACAACGGCACGAGCCAAATTGCGTGCGTATAGGATTAAGCGTGCTGGCCGCGACGGTCATGTGTTTTGTAGATTTAAGCATCATATATATTTAAGACTAATATCAAGTACTTTAAATGCAGGCATTTTATACTTTAGGCTTGTATTAACTTCTGTGTATGCAGACATTCTATACTTCTGTAGATGCAGGTGTTCTATACTATAGACTTATATTTGCTTCGTTTAATGCAAGAATTCTATACTTAAGACTTATAGTTGCTTCTGTAGATGTACGCATACTATACTACTGACTTATTTATACTTAATTGAACGCAAGCGTTCTATACGTTGATGTACGCATTCCATACTGAAGTCTTTTATTTCTTTTGGTAGATGTACGCACACTATACATTCAACTGACATTTACTTATCTTCTCCCGTTGCGTCTTGTCTACAGTGCTGTCTATGTTGTTTGGTGGATTCTTTATTGATGGCGATTCCATTCCCGATTACCTCATCTGGCTGGAGTATCTATCGTACATCAAGTACGGCTTCCAAGCCATTGCAATGAATCAGTTCTCCGAGGAAGGCACCACTGGTTACAACGCTCTGAGAGCCTCTGGCCTTGATGTAAGTTATAAACGCGTCTGTAGTTATAGCGGTTTGTCACATGTCACCAAAGCGGTATCAAGCCGTTTATAGTATATATCACGCACACATACATCAATTCGTGCGCAAATTTTCAGAGCCGTCACCACCTATCGATAAGGCGTTGCACACATTGGTTTACGTATGTTCACGGCCCAGGTAGTTTCTATGAACTGTTTTAAGCTTGAAAAGGAAGCTACCATCATTTGCAAGCCAAGACTCCTGTACTGTCGCTTACTGGTTTGGCATTAGTTCTTAAGAATCGGAAGAAGGAGAAGAACCTGTCACAAGCCTGCCACAGTCGTTGACACCGTTTCTCTTCGCCATCACTTTCACAGGATTTCAGTGCTTGGGCGAATGTGGGACTTCTCTTTTGCTTCTATATTTTCTGGCGAGTACTTTGCTACTTCATTCTGCGTATGAATGGCCCAAAATACGATCGAAATCTTTAAGTTGGAGGTCAAGAATCAAATCTAAGGTTTCGTTGTTCATTTACAAATGCAAATCAAATTTAATTTAATAAACTCAATCTAGTTATAAACTTGCGTCTGGAATTGTCACACTTCATCAAACATTGAAACACAGCCTTGTCGGGCATTGTTGGCTAGGGTTGCTATGCTCTCCTTAGTCGTTCTAACAGCTTGCGAGTGGCCAGTCTTATCGTAAATTAGTAGTTGTTTCCATTGTAGGCTTCGAGTTCTCGACTGGTTGTCTGAAGTTTTGTCCAAGAGCTGTGGTACCTAGAGCTGGTACGATACATGTCAAGGCTTCAGATGCCATCTCATATTTCAGCTAAGGGGTCCACGGTGGAGCACTCGGTTTCGCGATTGTTTGATATTACTAAATCTTGTGAGTGCATTTAAAAAAACGCTTTAATCCTAACACAAAGCATCACGTAAGAAAAAGGAGTTTACAAATATATACAAAACTCCCATCTATCTGGCGCGCCAGAGATTGAATAGAGTGCTTTGATGCTTATCGACAAAACCGTTTTGATGTGGATGGATGTACATAAGCAATAGTTGGAAGGAATGAATGCAATCCCCAAAGGGCGTTGTGTGTGTTTGAACTATCGACTCAATATTTCTTGAAAATATCGTAATTTGGTTGAGCCTGTTTTCTTCGTGGTCAAAGTTGGCGGCTTGACAGGTGAGTAACCTTCCGCCTCTCTTCCCCTGCGCCATAGCATAATCTAGTCATTCCTGATCAGTGGTCAGAATAAAAGCTCAATAGTTTAACCATATTGAATTGGCAGATTTCACTGTAATGAATACATGCAACTCCCCGCGGAATCACCATGGTTGCTTTCGTACTCTATAAACACATCGCCACAACCCAAGATGAGATAAAACACAATACCGCTACCAGAATCGCGCCTTGTTAGATAATGACTGGATTGGCTGCCATGTACTTGTCTCCACTGTGTGTGTGTTTTTGTGTACCTGTGGCCTCTCCCCACACACTCGGTTACCTAGATTTGGCGGTTGTGCTTCGCCCAGAATGAGTGTACTATGTATCTCTAGTTGCAGTCTGGCAATATGAACAGTAGTGCTACTTTTATTGTAAGCCTCCAAGTCTAAGCCCCAACATTCAGTTATTGTACGAGTCTATTTTAAGCAATTGTCTTAATTCCAAGCACGAACGTACAATTATTGTAGGAGTTTACTTTATCTCTAAACACAAACGTACTATTATCGTAAGAGTTCATTTTATCTCTAAGCATCATCGTACAATTATCGTAGGAGTATATTTCAAGCAAGTCTCATAATCTAAGCACCAACGTACAACTATGCAAGTCGCTTAATTCTAAGCACTAACGTACAATTATCGAATGAGCTTATTTTGAGCAAGTCTCCTAATTCTAAGCACGAATATACAAATATTGTAGGAATTTATTTGAAGTGAGTCTCTTATTTCTAAGTACTAACGTACAATCATCGTACGAGTATTTTTTAAGTAAATCTCTTAATTCTAAGCACTGACGTACAATTATCGTAGGAGTTTAATTTATCTCTGAGCACCCACGTACAATTATCGTGGGAGTTTATTTAACGCAAGCCTTTTGATTCGAAGCACCAACGTACCATTATCGTAGGAGTTTATTTTTTATGCAAGCTTTTTTATCCAAAGCACTAACGTGCAATTATCGTAGTAGCACAACTATACAATATAAACATAGATTATCTATGTTTTGAAAAAGTAGGGACAAGCTCATTTTGGAAAACACTCGTGCCTCATTTACCATGTAGGAGAATTTGCACACACACGTTTGTACACCTGGAGTACAGTCTCTGTTTTAGAGTATTTTTAAGTATATCACATTAGAATAGCGAATAGGACTTACACAACAAGTAGGAAATATTCATCAGTCGGCGAATTTCTGAATTGGAACGTATAGAGAATACGCAAGGCTGCAATCAGCACTATAATCAGTTTTGGCGGAATGGGACGATGTTGGACAGAATATTGTTCTGATGAAATCACGGCGGATATTCTTGGCCACCGTCTACTTTTCTAAGGAACCGCATTCAAGGTTTGTAAGTCGGATGAATTCACTTGGTCGGGCGAGGAAAGATAAAATTTACCTAAGGTTGAGATTGCAAAAGACCATAAAGTGTATAAAAAAAAGGCATATCGATCCTTTCAAGAAATGAATTTAAGAAGTTGCCTGATACAGCCGTTGCCATGACTCACATGGAATACAGGGCACACCTAGCTAGACAAATCTTCTAGAGGAGGAACGCGTGCTATAGGAGGCGGTTAGGGCGACAATAGTATTAGATAGTTTGCAACAAACACACACTCGTCAACGTAAGAGTGTAGTAAAATAGATGAATGACTGAACCAACCAACCTGTTACAACCTGGTACTAGGTTGGTTGGTTCAGTCATTCACCTAGTTTACTACAATAGTACACGTACACGACAGCCTCTATTTGAAATTAATTTAAACGTTCCAACACCTTCAATTACAAACCAACAGAACAAACCTTTAACAACCGTAAATGTACAGCTCGCAACACAGTCCAAGGTACCAGAGAAAGTAATGAAAGAACTAGATCAGGCGCGTCAGAAAATTGGAGTTATCCACACCTATAAAAGAACTACATCTCAACAATCAGCAATCTGCAATCAAACGTCGATGATCTGCATAGTAATATCAATATCTGTATCTAGTATGATGTACGAAACAGGAGTATTTAAACTTACGTATTAGTTCTTGATCCTTTAGAAAGAGTCAGTCCGCCACTGGACTGAGTTTCAATCTGTGGAAAAATGGCAAGTATGTGCAACAAGTGAAATCATAGGGTGAAGATTACAACCCTGAAAGATCAATAATGTTATTTGAGAACGCAGTGGTACTGTGGTTTTGTCGTGTACGGCATAGCTTGGAACCGGGTGTACTAAAACAATTGTTTGGGCTTTCGTGTACACAGACGGTATCCAAGGATTTTTTGCTACCCCTCTCGTGACCATGATGCACTACTCAGGAAGGATATTAATACTGCTGTGTTGCTTCGGTAAAATTTGGTCTCTCCAGGCTGACTTTACAATATCAAACCGTTTACATTTATAAGAAATGTATTAATCATTAAATTACAATTGAATTAAGTTAAGGTTCAGCCCTCGGTAGTGAGCCAAACGATTAGGGGATTGTAGACTGAGACTGTTGTTTAAATATATGGCACCGCTCCTATCACTCACTGCGTCGGTCTAGATTTATTTAATATTCTAGTAACTAGATGGCTGCCGACGAACTCAAATTGGTGAATATCCATACCCTTTTTTTTGCTATAGCCGCACAAACATACTTTTGTTTTACCGATATTATATGTTTCCTTTTGTACGACGTGATGGTGATCCTTAAAAAGAAACAAACCTTATTTTAATATATTCCCAGAGATGTAAGTATTTACATCATCTATCAAAACCCAATGCTTTGCATGCTTTTCCAAGGATTCTTTTGTCGTACCATCATACGGCAGCATATCCATACCACGGTGGATATTGCATTCAGAAATTTGCGGCTTGATTGCTTTGGCATCAGACTGACTCTCATGTGCTTTCCTATCAGGGTTATTCGAAACATGCATAAATCTAACCTGCTCTGCAATCATATCTTGACGCGCCGCAAGCGTATGTAGAGCTTCAATGACTAGTAAAGCAAGTGAGGTGCATATGTCATTCAAAACCTTTTCACTTGGAACGCCCCATACACACAATTTGCTTGTACATGATACATACACATACCTACCAAAAATATCAAGCGGACATATACAATATCCTTTTGAATTATATTTTTCTTCGCTATTATCACCGCTTTTCAGACGGCATGTGATTCCATTAGACTAGTGTTCTGTAAACGAGGAACACGGGCAGTCACTTTGAGATCTCGCGTTGCATAGTAAAAAAACAGTGGACACCATAATATCCGTTCACTTATGCTTACAAATGTTCTTAGAGGATTTAAGAGTGGTTGATTTCTCAATGCACACGACATGTACTGCTATGCGGTTCTGTTCTTTTCCGAGCGTGGCAGTACCGAAAAAGTTCAACACAACTTCTTTCGACAGAACAGGTAATTCATGTCATGTATTTCGTGGCACAGTGGAGTAGGTATTTGTGGAAGATTTAAGTAGTGGCTGTACTCAATAGGGTAGAATCGCCTTACGAAGGCGAGTGAATGGATTAAATTCGCCAGAGCAATTGCCAAAAGCTATACTAGGATCTACTTAAGAATCCAGTATTTCTGTGTCACTTGTCTCGTTAGTCTCTGATAGCGATCGCCACTTCGCACCTGTCCGATCAAATACCCACGCGTACTTATAAGCATGTAGAGCCTGAGTGAGGGCGCACTCGCACTTATCATACTACTAAATATCTAAACTTGCACGCAATGCGTTAAGGATCCTATCAATTCTCACATCACTTACACCATGTTCATCTATATGCAATTTCATGATCTTCTTTACCTCGCAATTCTCAAGCGATGAAGCGGTCCGACGTTTATATGTAAATGACAGCAAAGCATGAGCCATACATGACGCGTCATTCAGTCCTTGAGCGTCTAAACGTTCTCTTCGCTGCTCCACTGTGACCATACACACTTGAACGTTGATGGTATATCTCTAGCTGCTTCGACAACTAGAGAGAAGCACACATCTAAGCCACCTTCGCACACAAATATTAGAATCGACAGCTGCAATAAATGATTCGACGTCTGATTTACGGCTCAATTTTACCAACTGAGCATCTGCTTCCTATCGTGCGAAGATGTACTCACAACGTTATGTTTTACAACCGATGCCTATTTTAGTCCTACTTACCCAAGTTTGATACTTCTTTCGTTGCACCCGTCCCTTCATGTTCAATTCCTCAAAGTCATGAAACGCCTTGCAAATATCAATCTTTGCTGGTAGAATATATTCATATTGAAAACAAATACAGGCGTACAGCCAAGACATTCAATAAACTAACTATTCCTGATTGCAGAGCTTTTGTGGCGCCATCACAATTCTATATGTGAATACCACGAGCAAGATCATAAGCGTTTACAAAACTATTGCGCGTAAAGCGTGTTATTGCAAGGTGACAACGATGCATCGGCGAAACAAAAGCGGCCCTAGCTATGTGATATGCATAGAAGTTGCTTTATTTTTTGGTGACTGACAAGGTTGTTCCCAAAACGTGTAAAGATAAATACATATCTATATAGGTCTATTCTCGTAGGAGTTTATTTAAGCAAGTCCCTTAGTTCTAAGCACTACCATATAATT